TTAACGGTAATTACATTGAACCTTATGGGGAAATTTGCTTCAGGTTGCGACCAATTCGGATTGCGACCAGAGTCACAGAATGAATTAAGTTTGAAACCGAGGTTCCACTGTATCTTCATTTAAAGAATATAAGTCAACTGAAATAGTTCAGTAGATAAGATACTGCGGTAGATTATCTTGTTTTATTGAAAAAACTGGGCTTGCATTTGAAAAAAGTTGACAAATGAAAAATATATAGGATACTTTGACTTTTAGGCTTGTGGATGATTTTATATCAGTTAAACTTTAGAAATATTGTGGAGTTGATCAGTTAATATTTTAAAATTATACCCTTTTCATATTTTCAAATGTCCCATTAAATGTCTCTCTCTTTGTGTGTGGGTGTGATCTCTCTCTGGGATTCTGACCAATTTCTTGGGAAACAGACTATATAGTTTCATCATGCCATTCTTCTAGACTTCTTGGGAATGTTTGATTGGCCATGGCTGGGAGTAGTGCTGTTATTTTATTATTTTGTTTAATTAATGCTTAATTTACACTCTGCCTTTTCCCCCATTTTGATGTCAACTTGGCCACATCCATGTTTTATTAGCCTTGGCAAGCCATGCTTTCTTCCCAGAACTTATTTATATTACAATACTATTAGTAATGTTAGTATTTAAATGTCTGTCTTATTTATAAATCAGCACATTTTCATTTTTATTCTTTTTTAGATGAATATAGTCCTGAAACTAACACATTTACCATCCTTGCCCTGTTACGTTCTCAGTCTTTGCACATTTCCATTTGATTACACTGCTCAGAGGTTTTATGTGGCAGAGGGAATAGTGGTTGCAATGACTATTATAACAAAGTATACACAGGGAGCGAGATTTGTTTGTTCTGAGGAAACATGCCAGTTTTCTGAAGGTATACTAGTAAGCTTGAATTCAAATTCTTTCAAGGTATACTAGTAAGCTTGAATTCAAATTCTTTTTAAGCCCAACTTTAAACTTTTAACTTTAAATAACTTTGTGCTAGATTTTACATTGTCATTTCCCATGTGGATTCACATATGTTATTCAAGATGATTTTCCTACGGCATATAGTAGAAAGGAGGAGGAAGCAGAGAAGAACATTTCCTTCAATATTCATCCTAATATGATTCCCCATACTTAAAATAGATTCTAAATGAGTTGAACAATTCAAATTTTAACATGTTCAAAATGGTTTGTTATATCAAACAATCAAAACCAAGATGTTTTGAAAAGCTACATGCATTTTGGGGGAAATGTTTAAGTATAACATTAAAACATGGCTATATACATGTAGCCACAATGTAGGCTTCAATGGATAATTGCTTAGTTACAACTCCCCCCTGAAACAGAAACTTATTTTTGAAAGTTGAAGAAATGCTTCCTAATTTGTTGGTTCAAAAATAAAAAGTCAGAACAGTGCCTGTTGCCCAATTTATGCTGTCCCTAATTTCTCATGGGGCTCAAACACCTTTGTGCTTACTATATTGCTAGGTATATCCACATGTTTATAAATTATTTCTGAGTGACTGGAAAGGGAGTGGCAAGGAGTGACTGGAAAGGGAGTGGCAAGGAATAGAAATTCCAATATACTGTTGGCATTGAAAGTAATTGGGTATTTCAGTCCTTTGCATTCCTGGTATACCCATTTATTCATATGTGTCTCTCAGTAAAACTTCTGTCAAAGTAGGCAGCCTAATGGCATTCAGATGTTGCTGAACTACACCTCCCAGGATCCTTCACCTTCGGCCATGTTTCCTAGGGATGCTGGGAACTATAGTTCAGCAACTTCTAGAATGTCACAGATTGCTTTTTCTGCCAATTGTGCTGAGCCTACCACTTAGTATATGACTCATGATATATAACTCACTATATTGGGTTAGGTGTATTCAGAATTATCAGCCGTGAACTCAGCATATACTTCAAAAGTCCAAAAATGATAAAGTGCTTCCTGTTTCTACCATTCTAACATTGTTTGTGGTGGAACATAAAACACATTGTAGCCAACTGAGGCCGCCATATGATGATGCTATAGTAGGGAAACATCTGGGTTGTCTATATCTCAAAAACAACAGATATCATCCTAAGGGATCTAAAAGGGATGTAATGTTTTTCAGCATGGTATGAGAATATCCTGTTAAAGTGCGTAGATTTCAAGCATAGCTTGTTGATAATAAACAGTGAAAAATATTAGCTGCTTCTGAATATTTAGAAAACTGAATTCAATCTTTTGTATGATTCTATTAGGGTTTCAGTATATAAGAGTACATACTGCTGGAGCTACAGAATCTGCAACACTAAGAAATGATTTTGTATGCAGTTTATGTACGTCACCACTGAAAGAAGACATGAAATACCGAGTACTTGGTGGTAAAAATTAAATAGCTTTGGTATTAATTCAAAATGACATAATTTAAAGGGCTTCCTTTGTTTTATATAGTGTGAGATGCTATTGGGCAACCACAAAGAAAAAAGAAGGAAGGAAGGAACACACAGATGTGAAATGGAGTGAAAAACAGAAATAGGTTTAGAAAAGTATGTGAATGGGAAAGTGTGTGCACATCAGTAAAATAGGATAGAAGTGGAAATTGTGTTTTTAAATCATAGGCTGAATGTTTAAACTTTTTTAGGCCCAATGCAGCAAACGGATTTATTTGAAACAAAAGTTATGTGTGTATATATCGATATAGATATATAAATTATTTTTTTTTCATTTTTAAGATAAACAAGTGGTTGAAATGATTGACTCTAAAGCGATTAGTGTGTTTCAGGGATTTTCCAGAAGTAAAACACATTTCAGATTTCAATCATTTACAGTGTTTCTAAGAGGTAAGGTGTCTGTTTGTTTGTTGGCTTTAATCGTTTGATTGTTTTTCAGGGCAAAGTCTTCCCAAAATAGCCAATAGAAGATACACATATACATAGCAGGAACACTATATTTCTAAATAATTTGGAGGCGTATCCATTTGCAATGCGTCCAGTGGAAACACCCAAAGCTCACCCTCTTTCTTTCTATCCATCTGTGCTATACCTATATCCCTTAGTGGTTCCCAGCTCCTACACCCCCCACCAAGGCACCAACTCCTTCCTTGGATGATGAAACTCTGCTGTTGTGATGGAAAAACTACGGCATTTCAGCATCATTCCCTTTCAGATACGACTTTTAGACTATCTTCACTCTCTGTTTTCCAGAGTTCTTCACATTTGCATGATTGCGTATAATTCACAGTTCATGAAGCTGAATTTAAACCCAGGAGCTTTTGTCCAACATTTGGCGGCCTCAACAATGGTATTTGTTAATTTCTGGGAAAGATTCTTCCTGCCTCAATTATAAGTATATACTTTAAAATTATTGTGTGACTGAGAAGTGAGGCACAATTATGTTTTACTTTTGAAAATATTCAACAAAATAGCATTTGATTAGAAGAGGGGAACATTCTACTTTCTTAGTGTATTTGCCTTGGAAATAAAATGTAAATGTTATGATGTGATTATTTTAGATTTAACTTTTTTTGTATAATATTAGAGGGCATTATTAATGAAGAGAAAATAACAAAAATAAAATGCAGAGGCTTTCAATTAAACAAACACAGCCTTAACTAGTGCAGCAGGATCTTGTCTTGTTGGAATTTGACTTCCTTTTTTCCATTACTTATGACAAAATTGTTCTGTAGTAACCTGACGTTGTAATATCCTTTCTTAATATAGCTGTTTCTCCATGCCATTTCTGGTTTTCATAATCCAGTTGCACATTTTTTCCTTAACAGAACTTATTTCCCTATTTAATTATTATTTATTTAATTACACAATCTCCCCTTAGCTAAATGAAACAAACCAAATTTTAATTCCTGATCAGTGAATGTGTTATTTATCCAAGAAGCAGTTTGTTCAGAAGCATTTTTAAAAGAGTAATGTGAAAACTCATTATTTGAATGCACACTGAACTTTTATGACCATAGTGAAAGTATATGTGGCACAAATCTGAAAATGGTAACTTACGAAAAAAGAGTTTGGATTCTAAAGCAACTTAATTTTCTTCACAGAATTCACAATTAAATCACATCTGCTTGGAGCTGTTTTAAGAATTTTCCCTCCCATTAACTTCAAGAAGGATAAAAGCATTAGCAAAAATCTTCTACTGTCCTAGTCTGTACAAGCCACCAGGGTTAGAGAGTGGCAAATATTGAGCCATGAGTTTCAATCACCCTGACTTAGGGTACTTCCTCATGGCTGTGTTGTTGTATATTCCTTCTGTTGTTGAATTGGCAGAAAAGTCAACATAAATTGCACTGTCCCTGCAGCTGAACTTTACTGTGCCTTAGTAATGATAGCATAATATGGTGTTCTGCTTGCAGAGTTAATGCAGGACATTTTCAGGACAGCAATTGATGTACTCCCTGGCTTTCCTTCCCATCCCAGTCACCAATTACTTTCTGTAACATGTGGTGGAGGAGAGTTGGGAGACTAACCACCTATAGGTATTCCCTTGGGGTGCAAGAGAGACTGGATCATTAGCTTCTGCAGAATACACCTGTAAGCAAGATTTTTGGGGGCGGGGCATGGGACTATCTGCTGGGAGACCAACAATGCTGTGTTAAAATTACACACAAATACAACCTGTCAGTTGGAATGGTGCAAGGGCTGCTTTAGGATTATAGGATTATAGAACAATAGGAGAGATCATCTATGGGAGATAAGTTGTCCTAGGGCAAAATTTAAAATCCCAGTTGATAGTCTAGTCTGCACAAGTTATAGGAATTCTTCTGCAGCACAAGCCAAAATGGATGTAGAGGTCAGTGCTCAGTGAGAGGCCAGGAGATTGATAGTCCTATTTTTAAAAACTTAAATGTTACCAATATTACAAAAATTAACTGTTAGCATTCCAAAAGATCAATATTCCTACTCCAAACAAAAGGAACCATGTGAGTCATGTGTCTAGTCTCTCATTGCTCAAGCCAAAAGCCATATAGGTCAGTATCTAGAGACCAGATAGGAATTCTATCATTGCCAGTCTCATCATCAAGACACTGTAGATTTTGTACAATAAGACATTTTAGGAGAGGGAAAATACCATTATTATTAGACCAAATAGACACCCTCAGAGTGGCTCTGCAGTGAGTTGGGGAATAATATGGAGGTGACCTCATAATGACTTTTCCCTTAAAAATGGTCTCTAAGGTGTCTTTATATTATTGGAGGGATATGAAAACAGGTCCATAGAATTATTCTGCCCAACAGAAAATCCCTAGCTGTCTATTTGTTTTTCCCCCCCCACAGATGAATTATCCAATAAAATGAAAATGGGAAACCAATATAAAGTTATAGGAATTCCAGTCTGTATGCAAAGCTGCTTACAAGCCACAATTTGTCTTGAAGCCAACAGTGTACTTCTTTCTAATTCTACAGGTATGACAAGAGGCCAGTAAAAGCAGACAATGAAATATACTGTGTTCTGATAATAGGAGACTGAGATGCATCTATCTCTTTCTCTTCATCTCAGTCTTTCTCTACTTCAGTGGTTCTCAAAGTATGGTCTGGGGACTTCTGGGGGTCCCCAAAACCCTTTCAGGAGGCCCACAAAGACAAATAAATAAATATTTTAAAATTTCTCTGTTTTAAATTCTAATATAGTAAATATCGATAGATATAACCCACATAAACCAAAGTTCTTTGGGGTCCTTAATCAATTTTAAGAAATGTAAAGGGGTCCTAAGACCAAAATGTTTGAGAACCATTAATCTACTTAATAGATTTGCTGTGAAAAAATGCTCTTTTAATTTTCATATTTGATTATATTTGTACCTTTACCATCTTTGAATTACATATACAATGTAATTCACAACATAATGCAATATTTTGCCAGCTGGACAAGTTCCAGATGTTTTGACTTCTGGCAAAATTCTCAGCAATAGGTGTTGTCTGGGAAATTCTAAGACTTGAAGTTTACACACCTGGAACTTGATCAGTGTGGGAAACATTATTCTAGAAGATGCTATCTTTTGGCTATTTCAACAAAACTAGAGTCCTTGGGAGTTGGGCAATGTACAAATTTAATAAATAAATAAATGAGTACAACTGCACTTCCACACCATATATCCATTCCCAATCTCTTACAAAGCGGTTTAAATCTGACCCACAATATTAACTTCAAAATGCAGGGAACATACAGGAAATATCATGAATCCATCAGAACATTATCTAGCTGAGAGTAAAAGATTGCTGACAGTAGTAGACTGCAAAGAACATCTATCTATAAAGTTCTACCCTCTGAGCTACCACTGGTCTTGGATAACAATAATTCATTACTACATCACAAAAAACATGTAAACAAAAAACTGGATTTCTAAGGATTTCCAAGCTACTTAGTTACAATTCCTTTCTTGCATTTGAAACAGTTCCTGTCTTCTTATGAAGATGAAATGCTAATATGTCAGCCATTTTGTAATCAGGCCCTTTACCCATTAGTTCAGGCCACTGTGAATGCTGCTGGCTGGGCGAGTGGATGAGGTAAGATTTAAACAATACATACAGAAAGCGGCAAGTTCCAAGTATAGGACATTCAATTTCTGTAAGAGAGGCAGGGAGAGTAATCACTTGTGAGCTCAGGAGCCAGAAGTTCCCATTAATGAGAAAACAGGCAATATATAAGATATGCAGAATTTCAATTTAAAGTAAAATACCAGCTTTGCAGCAATTTCAAATAAACCAGAGTCAAGACAGAAATTGGTAATTCCTTGCAGGTGATGATGTGAGATCAGTTAGGACGAAAGTAATTCTTGAAGTGATGCAAAATAGTGGTATGAAAGTGTTCTTAGAAAAGATCAAATGAATTTATTACAATTTATAGTATTATTTGTTCTTTCAACTGTAATAACAGACAACCCATGCCCTGTGCTTCTAATGGGTAAATTATTTTTGATACTTAAGATTTTTGTAGATTATCTTTCATTAATTATTGCATCCTTAGTGTGCATCAGTACACTGCAAGTATCTCCTTATTAGTGGGAAATAGGCAACAGTGCTTAGTAGTCTCTAGATTAGAGAACAGCATGAGCATGCTTGGGATAAAATTGGGCTTTGATAGTGTTTGTAACATACTGATCAAAATGTCCCCAAAGTGGCTGATACTCTCCATAAGTTAACAGGGAATGTTACAAATGGCATGGGTACAACTAAGACTGACAACCTAGTCTATGCATTCTTTACCTAAAAAGCATTATGATTCTTATTCTTTTTCTGTACTTTGAATAATGTGCTTATCTCAAAAGGGAATTGTGTACTGGTGTGCATTAATGTGTATACATGGCATTAATCAAGGTAGTATGTCTTATTTATAAGTTAAGGAATTTTTTTTGGTTGGAGTTGTTTTGCATCTGTTCAATCTTATTTTAAATTGCTTTGAATAAATCCATCAGTATGTGTGCTTGGGTGTGTATATATGCACAAACCACATACCACATCAGTCAGTACTTCTTTAAATCAAACGTGTCTTTTCTTAAAGGGATTGCCATCAGGTACAATGTGAATGCCCTTAGGTCCTCCAAATCACCTTCTCTCCTTTGAATTCACATTCTGCACAATCCTAATATATATACTTGCTAACCATGGTTAATAATGATCATCTTCCATCTACTCAGTTTCATTCATTTACATTGGTTTCAGTGAGTGGGAATTCTGTTTCCTTTCCTTTATAAGCATTGTCTTGTGGCAAATTCATCTTTATTTTTACTTCCAATTTGCTGGCAGAAACATGGTAGAGTACTATATTTTTGAAAGTGCAATTGTCTGAGACTCTAAAACAGGTATTGCCCACCTATGTTCTCACAATGTTATTTGGGGAAGGCTTTTTGCAAACCGGTCAAAAACCTGTTGCAGTAAGCTTTATTCCATTGCTTGTCAAAAATGGTGCCTAGAAAAAGAAATACATTGGGCTCATTTAGCAAATACAATGAGTACAATGATCACTTCCCCTGTTAAGTAAACAAGGAAGAGGAAGCATGCACAGCATGGCTTCTGGGATTCTTTCAAATCCTTTCGTAACAGCTGTTCTTAATAATGTGAACAGGGTTTAGAATGGAGGAGTTGACAACATTCTGAGTTGCTGCCCAACTGGCTCTCCCATAGAGATTCAGGGGATTAAAAAAAAATCTGTGCAATCCTCAACCTAATCTAGCCCAGTTTTGCCATCTTTTTTCCTACTCTGATTGTGGTCCTGGTCAGAGAGCTACTGTGCTCTCAGACACACAGAATCCCTTTACCTATTTTTTCCAACACTCCGTTGGATTGAAAAGAATAGCAAGGTAGAGAAAGCATACAGAGCATGGCTTCTAGAATTCTTTTAATCCTTTTAACAGCAGCTCCACTCTGGGTCAACTAAAAGTTGACACCGACTTCATGGCACATCATCCATCCATCCATCCGGGGTCATATGGGCAGGAGGAGGGAGGGGGTGTAGAATGGAACAGTTGGCAATATTCTGAGGCATTGCTCAACTGCCCTTCCAGTAAAGATGCACTGGGGTTTTTTCTCTGCAGTCCCCAGACCGATCTATTTTCAAACTCAGTTTTTCTTTTGTCAGCTTCTTCCCTACCCAAAATTTGATCCCATTCTGGTTTTTTGCAAAATTTCTTTTCATTGGATTGGAAAGAATAAAAAAGTCATGACCAAATAACATTAATATTGGTTTCTTCCTGTTTTGGACTGGAAGAGATATTCTTAACATAATCTTTAATTCCAGAACCAAGCATCAGGATTTTATTTTCCTATTCCTAGTCTTACCTTCAAAAAGCAAAGAGGCAGCTCTACCTAAATATTTTTCTGAACTAGTCTTGTCCTAGTCAGTCTGCTAGCCCAAATAAGTAGTATTCACCTTGTATTCCCCGATGAAGTTGAAATCCTGTTCATTTTCTTACTGGAATTCAAGAATTTGAATTTGAATGAAGACCTGGCTCTGCCATCTGGCCTGGGGTGAGGAGGGGGATCAGCAAGTGTGGGGTTGCTGCCTTGAACCATCAGCCTCCTGGATTTTTTCCCTTTTATTTTTATGAATGTGAATTGTTATAGGTTTTAATTGTATATTTATTGTTTTAATGTGT